CCCTGGTGTATAGAATTAATCCACCTTGTTCCAGGTCTGTCGTTCTTCAACCATGCACAACAAAACCCACCACTAAATCCAGAACAATGGAATGAGCCATGGCGAAGCTATTCCTAACAATGCATCACAGCCATACTGGGGAGTGAGATCAACTCCTTGGATCTCAACACAACTGACTCCCCCGGGAATCTTTCTTTGTCAGCATGTCCACTCTGAAGTCAGTTTCACTGAACGTAGTAAAGATGTCTCCTAAATAAAAGGTCTGTGGCAAAGCCATTCAGATCTCCTTCACTCAGAAGTTGAAACGACTTTAACAAAACTCACTCCCAGCACGGAGTCCCTGGTCCTATTGCCTTACACACTCTCCAGTGCCTTAGCTGTCCAGCAGCAAGCCTCATTCAGTTTGATGGGACTGATGCTCAAGCTACAAGATCCAGGGCTGCGCGTTTAATGAACAAAACCACAGACTGTGGGGTTTTAAGCTCAGCCTCCTCTGAATCCAGATGATTTGAAAAGTGTACACCCAAACCACTTAATTAGGGAGAATAAGACAAGGGTTTTACGATCTTCTTGCTCTTGTTTCAGTGCCATTCCAGACTAACCTATAGACAGATCATTTTTCTGACTCTATTCACATCTAAAGTGCCTAAATTCACCTATTATGCCCCCCTTTGCTTTTCTCATTTCAGGATCCTAGAGCTCTCCCCTCTCCCCCCCCCCCCAACTTTTCAATATATATTTCTTGAAGAGAAAAATCATCTTCATTGCTCTGGCAAAGTGTTTTCTCCTTTGCTTGTTTCAGGCCAAAGGAGGGCAAAGCCACCACGTTACAAAATTCATTTTCTTTTAAATATAGGGAAGGGGGTGGGAAATAGGAAAGGAGAAGATTCCCAAGGTTGCTTCCCAAACGAGGTTTGCAAAGCAGGAGAGAGACGGGCAGCCGTTCGTTTCCTTTCTTTTAAAGAGAGGCCATCAACGGTCGACCTAGAAACGTTTCCCTTGGCAGAGAAAGGCCCCGATGGAAGAAACTGCCGGGGGACCAAACGCCGGACCGAAGAGCATCGCCGTTACACAGGCTTCTCCCAGCCGGGCTGCAAAGGTGGCTTTGGAGAAAGGCGATCCGTGTCTGCGTTTTGCCCAGCTGCCTTGCAGGGGAAGAGGCGGGGAGGGCGCTGAGAAGGAGA